TGCTGTGTGGTTAGGACGTTATGACTGAATATAATATCCAAATCACTCATTCTTATCCAAATACTGCCGTCTAACCCCGAGGCCCTATAAATACACAGTTCTAAGTGCCTTGCTTTTCGGGGGGGGGGGGTCGGGGCTGATTCTGGGGAGGGGGCGTGGTAAAATTGATCAGAGGACGAGGTGCTGCTAGATTGAGGAGTCGAAGGAGCACGAATTTACAGCGAAGGCAAGTCAGATCCCGGCGAGCATAAAGAGGAAGGCTTTCGAAGGATCTGAACTCGTATTTCCCCCCTTCCGTTCCTTGAAATTAGGCTTGTTCTTAATCTCGAGAAGAGCTACTGATTTCGCTTCGTCGATTGCAATGCTTCAAGCAAATACTTCCTTTGTGAAGTAAGGGCTCTGTTAATTTTCTGATAACCGGATCTGATCTGCGACGGTTCATGGATATTAACATCCCCGGCACATGCAAAGATCCCACGCAAACAACAGGCGATAAACATCTGTTGTGTGTTGTTTAAGAAAGTTGTATTTTTTATTTTCATTGTGTAAGGAGATCTTATAAAAATATCAATTTTTATTCGAGTTTATTGTAACGATTAAAGTTGTAATAGATTCAAGGCAATGAAATCAACTTTTGACCCAAACATGCATAACCATTGTCACATATTCAAGATTCAAAATAAAATGTTATATATTACAAAAATGATTGTCACTGATTCAAGATTAAAAATAAAAGATTATATATTACAAAAACCATAAGCGATATATTCCATATAACTGTTCTGGATAATCAACGCATAAGCCTAGTTGGACAACTGATTTTGTTGCGGCCCAGTTGATCGCACCTACTACACTTATTTTTTCCTCCTGATTCCTTCTCGATCGTCATCTATATTATTTCTAATTCGTACGGAACGAGGCCAACCAGCTGATCTTTTATACACAAGAGGTAATATCTGTGGCCTGCCTTGTGTCCAATGTCGACTATCATATGGTGGAACACTCTTTGTACGTTTATTGATAGTTATAAGTTGAATACCAATCTGCGAGGAATGTATAATGTGAATTCCTTACACCACCCTATAAATCCGAGCAAGCCACGACAACATAGGAACAATGAAGTCATTGTAATCACAGTATATTGCAAGTGCATGTACAAGTTTAATCGACTAGCATATTAACTTTGTAAGAGCGATTTTATCTATGTGATATTCCCTCAATAACCTCCCATTCATTAAACTATATCTAACGACATGAAATGAATGAGCCTGCACAATTTGATCCATTAATATGCCTTCAACCTTCGGCACCAGCTTTGATGGGATATTTACACTAAGTGTGTGTCGTCTGAGGAACAATTTATTAAGTCTGTAAAATATTTTTGCAACTAATGACTGTATTGGCATACCACTTGTTCCCCTAAGCACATCATTGAAACTCTCAGAAGTGTTAGTGGTCATCATACAAAACCATTTCCCGTCATCTTCACATAAAGCCTACCTATCAACATTGTCTGGACCCAAACTAGTCTCGATCCAATCATGTGCAGCTCGTGAAATAAACTTAATTATCTCCTGTAGTTGCTCATAAACTAATTTTTCCGTTGCACATCCAGCTTGCCAAAGAAGATCTTGAAGCTGCACTTGTCCATGCTTCCTCTTGAAGTTGTCCCTAATATGTCACGAGCAATAGCGATGTTGATGTGGCGACGAAAAATGTCGTTGGAGTGATATTGGAATTCCTTTCATCCTATCAGATATGAATATAATCGACCGCATTCACACACTAGGAATATGGCATTCACACACTAGGAATATTATATCTAATACATGCAAAAAAACATGCACAACTGTGTTTTCAACATCAACCACTACAAAGGCCAAAGGAAATAAATCGTCATCTGCGTCTACTCAGGTTACAACAAGCAAAACGCCTTTATATTTACAATATAAGTGGGTGTCGTCAATGCTAAGAAGTGGACAGCAATATCTTAATCCCTCAATGCAATGCCCAAATGCCTAAAATACCCCTATAAATTGTCTATCTCCGCCATCATCAGGGTCTGATGATACTTCATACACTATCCTTGGATTTTCTTTTTTGAGTGCTTCAAGATAATGTGGTAAGATCTCATAAGATTTGTCTCAATCTCTGAATATTTTTATCATCGCCTTCCTCCGAGCATTTCAACATTTGTTGTATGATACATCTAAGTTGGTCGCTTTATGCACTAAAATACGAATATCCTTTGGCCTTAGATCAAGATCTTCTCTTAGTTTAGGCATAATCAATCGATATATGAAAGAGGCGGGTGCGTGTTTATGATTCATCGCCAATCGAGGATTGCTATATATGTGAAGTCTGTTATAGTGTGTTATTTTAAACTGCACGCCTACTCTTACACCCAAGCGTGAATTAAGCATCTAAGGACATTTTGCATTGACATCGTGGTGCCCACCACTATCTTCTTCCTCACCATCTTTGCGGAAAAAATAAACTATATTATAGCTTGTTGTATTGCTTTTTGTCTGCCTAAACTTGATATTTTTGGACGACCCACAAACGAAGCGCGTGAATCAATTTCTTATTGCTTTCAAATAGATTGCCATTTCTGAATGAGAAGTCCTCTCCTTGTGTATCATCATCTACATTAGTACCGATAAAAATACTTTCCATCGTGGAGTTATCAATCCATTCTTCTCTATGAAGTTCATCGGGCGACGGATCCTTTAACACGACATACTCATTGTTAGAGTAACATTGGTCAATATATTGGTTGTCCCCTTCATCATGATCTATCAAAAATGCCATGATATTGATTTGTAAGCCATCCTCTTCGTCATCTTCCTCGGATTCGACACTTGCATTATCATCTTCTATCGTCACTCCTGTGGAAGGCGTTATATTTTGATAGGGAGCGCTATCATCGAAGACATTTGAAGTGATAATAAGTGAAGGACCGCTCAAGTATTGTGATTGTGTCCATCCTATATATTGTTACGGGGATAAAAAACCGGCGGAGTCAACTTTAAAGTCCTCTAACATGCGAGAGTATACTCCATCGTGATTCACCAATTTGCCCAAATTTCTGTGATACTTTTTAATAAATAATTCCACCGAACACTTCTCGTCATGCTGTATTCCAATAAGACTCATATTGTAGTCACTTGAGATTTGAATATCGCTTGTTTTGTTTCTTGTAACAGGATAATTACAAATAACGTTGAGGTGATACTCACATGGATTGGTTAATGTAAGTTTGTGTAAGTCATTAATCAATTCATCGAAAGTACATGATTTTGATATAAACAATGACTTCGTCACACCTCCTTCATATACAGACATATTATTCTCGAGATAGGTAATCCTTCCATCATATGACCAAAGAATTACGATTCTATCGTTCACCGTTACATTTGAAGAGTAAAAAAAATTCCAATATCAATATTACACGAAAAACACAAAAAATATTATTTACCATTAAATCCTCTAATATCAATTTTAGATATCCATAATTTTAACCAAATGTCAAACCTTTATAATACACTAACTTTTATAATTTTTGATAATTTCCCCTCTAACTTCATACACAAATTTCTTTAATTTTTCTTCACAAAATTCATAAATATTTCAAAATTATTTTAAAATAAAAAATTAAACAAGTTATTTGCATGAAATAACGAGAATATGTAAAAAAATAGGAGAAAAACAAAAAATTTTAAAGATTTTACCTAAAATTTGTCGATGCATTTTCGGTAAACTCCGACGGTGATGACAGCGGGATCGACGATCGCTGGTGGACAATGCGGCAGCGACAGGGATGACGGCGGAAGCAGGGGGTGGTGGTATAAAGATCTAGGGTTTGGTAGTAAAGAAGCTAAGAGAGGGGTGGGGGGGTCGCGGTCGAGTGAACATGATTTGTTATCTCGTGGGCCTTATATAAGCCCTCCCACAACTCCATGGGATTTTAAATCCCGTGGAGTTGCAAGCCACCTCGCTAGAGAGACAGACTCTCTGGAGGTTGGCCTGCAACTTCATGGGATTTTTTTACGGGATTTAAAATCCCGTGAAGATTTACCCCCCTTAACGATATTGTTAATACATGGCTTAAACTTCACAGGATTTTAAATCTCGTGAAGTTTTTAAACTTTTTTTCTTCAATTTCGACTCAGATTCAGCCAACTGGCTAAAACTGGGTTGAAATTGGCGAATATTTTCAAAAGAAATCGATTTTTGAAAATATGTTTTTAAAGAGGTCCAAAACGAAAATTTGTCCTATATTCAATTAGCACTACCACATATTTGCTCTAACGCAACGGTTCAAAACCGTTGCGTTAGCCATGGAACCGTCGCCCTTGAGCAAGTGCGACGGTTCTCAAACCGCCTCATATATTGCCGTTGCCCTACCTCTACCGTAACGGTTTTGAACTCTATTGCGATGGTTTTTTGAACCATTGCCCCTGCATCTAACGCAACGGTTTTAAAAGGTAAGCGGTTTTTAAGCCATTGCAACGGTTTTGATTGAGCTATTGCGACGGTTTTTAAGCTATTGCAGCGGTTTTGATTGAGCTATTACGACGGTTTTCAAGCTACTACAGCGGTTTTTTTAGATATTACAACGGTTTTAAAAGACCTAACGCAACGGTTTTAGTAGGCTAAAGCTATGGTTTTGATAGAGCTACGGCAACAGTTGGAGCTATTGCAACAGTTTTAAAAGACCTAACGCAACGGTTTTAGTAGGCTATAAGTATGGTTTTGATAAAGCTACGGCGACAGTTGGAGCTATTGCAACAGTTTTAAAAGACCTAACGCAACAGTTTGGATTGAGCTATCGCAACAGTTTGGATCGAGCTATCGCAGCGGTTTTGATCGAGCTATCGCAACGGTTTTAATCGAGCTATTGCAACTGCTCAATCGAAGCTGTTCTTGGTTTCCTACGTCAAAATAATTATAGTATTCAATTACCTGGACAATCTTTTTAAGAACATGGCCAAGTCAAATTTTAATACACAATATAAAAGTGATTATGTTGAGCATAATCAACCATAATGATAAGTGCCAACATACATCAGTATAGTATAAAAACTACAAAGTATTAAATCCACACTACCAACATTTCAACTCAGAAAATATCGTACCGAACTAACATTCAAACAATGTACATCAACATTTGATTACAAAACATGAAACTTCTTGGTCAAAGACTATATTCTCTATTTGTTTCCAAAAACTTGTTCCTCAATGTCAAATACTCACTAGGAACCTGTCAGTATCAATCTCAATCTTGGCTTTCATCATTTCTGTACCTGTGTAAATTTCCATGAATCGGCATAATTTTTGCAATGATAATAATAAAATTGGGGAAAAAAGATGTTTGAAAAGGAAGTTAAGAGAACATATTGATCCATGAGTACCAGAAGCGTGATGAAAGGAGCAAAAAATTCTCAAGACATAAAGCATACCGATTCCTCCTGCAAGAGTACTGAAATCTATCCTTACAATGGAATAAATGCTAGCGTGTCTTTCCTTACAGATTTATCCAAGCTCAATTTCGTTCATGTCTTCCTAGTCGCACCTAGAAACTACAATCTCTACTTAATATTTGTATTTCAAACTTTCAGTTACCCACATATTCTGGACAAAATTCTATTATAGTAGTTTGTATTAACAATTCCCCTAATAAAATTTATGAGTTTACAAGTACAAAGCTAATGCAATAGCATGAAATAATAAAATTGGGGAAAAAATATTGCAATTATTCAAAATAAATAGCTTAACATAAAGGAAATAACCCACCTGCATCAAAACCTTCCATTTGAGTAAAATAGGTGGCTACAGATTGCTAAGGGTCTCCATCAAACAAGCCCTTTTGCTTTTCATTCAAATGACAATTCCTGCATTGAAGTATGGGACTTTCATTAACATTTTTTGAACTACAAATAACCATTTTCTGCAAAAGATTTGACAAAAAAATATCAACAAAAATAAAATGTCATTATGGTTAAACATCATATCTACACACATGTTATGCAATCAAATATTTTGTTAACATCTTTAAACATATTTAACATTCTGATTATCGCTTAATCTTCTCCAGTTTGTTATATAAATAATCTACTACAACATTACAACTCGTGAGATACACAGTGCCTGCAGATGTCAGATTCTTTTTATCATTATGTCTTTTAATTTAGTATTTGGCTTCACAGTTTAAAAGTCTCTGCTCAGCTGCATCAGACACAAGACTATATGAGAATAGCCACACCAATATACAACTACATGGAAAATCAGTTATCAAATAAACAAGCATGCATCAACAAGATAAGCAGTTCTATTTTGATCAAATTTTCATGACGTTATAGGGAAAGACATTTCACATGCAGTTGCTTTCAAAAAATGCTATGCTTACTAGACATGTAAGAAGATGAAAGAGTGACAAATATAATAACAGGGAGAGCAGTCATATGTTATGCCTAACATGAAGGCATTTCACTGAAGTTTTCCTAAATATTGGGGAGTGGATTAGAGTTTAATTATGCAGTCATGTGCCACAGCAGCTATGTAAAGATCAAATAAGTATGGGGGCAGTAATCTTTAAATTTCGCATATAGCAGCTAATATTTATTTCTAGAAATTACTTGTTTCTTAAGTTGACTGACACTAATGAGCACAAATATACACAGTTTGGGTATAAGATGATAAAAAGGAAATTATAATTATAACCATATCTGCAAGTGCGATTAAAAAAAAATATCGCCATTTCTTAAATGTACAGAGGCATTTCTTAAAGCATATGAGAACTTGGGTTTTGTCATATCGTCAATATAAGATCATATTCTTACTCGAAAAAAAGTGGCAATCCTATTCATCCCAAGCTGTGCATCTAAGCTCAACAATCATCGATTCTTAGTTTCCCAAAGATGATGTTGACGTCAGATCAATTAAACAGAATAACTTAAAATCCGCCTGTCTGGGCTTACAATTTTGAAGTTAGCACACACAACGTGTAATTCTACCATATCTAAAACAAATAGTAGTTTATACAAACGATAATCTGATACATTCCCCTTAGGAAACTAATCCGTGGACCATAATAATGAATCCGGAAATAGCTTGCCAAATATAATTGACTAGGATCACCTTGTCAGCATCGAAAAGACTAATATCTCACTGCGAAACTTCATTAATACTAGACAACAATGTTTCATTAAAATATAATTTCTCGTTTATTGTATCTTTATGCTATTTAGAAATCCTTCTTCTTTAAGTCCAATTTGTTCCTTTTAATATACCATTAAAATGTGAAAGATATATGTTGCTATTGCGATGTTGACTTTGGTTTCTATTGTATAACATTGCGAAGAAACATTCCAGTTTAATATGAAAATTTCCTCATTATTCACCTATAATCAAATGACTTTCTAATATTATGATGACACGCCTGAATTGGTTTTCGACAGAATTAAAAGGAGAAATAGCTCATATAAATCACTGATATATTATTACTGGTAGCAAAATCAGAAATGTAGCCACGATAGAGGCAAGAAGAACACAAAGATGGAGAGGAGAAGAAGACAACGGGAAAAAAAGAAGAATAACGAAATGGGCAAAACGCAGACTCAGAAGACACTACGAAAACCAGTTCAAGAGCTAAGAAGGCTAAGAAATGTCGAAGTGTAAAAGTACTGCCTCTTCATGATCTTACGAACCTAGCAGCCTCTTCAGGAAGTTTAGTACGCTGCTTTAACCTCGTCAACAAAGCTCTGGCGACTAACTAGACGTCTAGTACTTCACTCACATTATCTGCCAAATGTCTTGAATCATACTTGTAGCTTGGGCTTCTTGTTGTCTCTTCATCTCCTCTTGTTGAGTGGCCACCACCTTCTTTGTTATTGCTTGAACAATTGACTCAGGGACTTGATCACATGGATCAATAGCTTTCTCCTTATTGCTTTGTAGCATGCTTTGAGTGATCGCCCGTCCCCGGAGACGCACACGTCCAGGATGTTCTTTTTTATTGACAAGATGCCATGCATCTACATTTTCTCCTTCAGTTTGTTCCTGAGTTAGCTCTTGAGTTAGTTGTTCCAATGTATCAATCATTTCTAGTGTTTTTTCTGGTTGTGCTTTTTTCTTCTTTTTACGAGTCTCTAGAAACACTTCTGCATCTGTAGGAGGCCGGTTCAATTCCTTTTCCTACAATGAAACAACATATCAATCATTTAGCCATTCATTGCATGTCTAAATCATAGATAAGCATCTGGTGTTACATGTTGGTGCATTCAGCTCTACATTGTAGAAAACTGAAATGTTTATTTAACATCTATGTCTTTTATGCAAGGAATAAATAAATGAAATCTAATTCATCTCTGTCAAAACAATGTCTAACTGAAATGTTTATTTAACATCTCTGTCAAAACAATGTCTAACTGAATTATGTGTTATAATCCACCTTTTCATGCATGTAGCAGATTTCTTCACGTGAAATTGTTGTATAATCTTGTCGAAGTTAAATTCACATAAAGGGGATGGCTTTGTGTTTCCTTGAGTACAATCAACATTATTAAGAGAGATTAAACTGTTACTAGTCGATGAATTGGCACTTTCTCTGACAACTGATTCCAATAATTGTTCAAAACTTGACCCAGAAAACAACTCTTTGTCTATTTCAGATTTGCAGTCTGAAACACTAGTACCCAAGTTTGAGAAGCGGCTACTGCCAATAGGTGTTATTATGTCATCCCAAGACTCTTGCCTTACTATTCGAGGGTTCATTTGAGGAGGTCAGTTTCCAATCACAACCGGTTGTAGATGAAATCTCAACTGGTTTGCTAGGTAAATCAATTGATGGACTGCAGCTGATAGCTTCACTTTGAACACTTGGAATGTTATGCTCACATGGATCAACCTGAGATCTTGTCTCGTGGTTTTTGAGTTGGAATGATGCAGATTGTTCAGGCACTGGATCTTGGGGTAAAGAGAGGAAATTATCAGGTAGCTCTGAGGCAATAGAGGATGATTTGGACGAGGATTTAGCAGGTGAAGATAATGAAATTGAGTGTCCAGAATGATATTGAAATGAGTTCATATGAGAGCTAGAATAATGTAAGTTTGCTGTCAATCCAGGCAACATTCTTTGTTCTGCTGAGGTGGCTAGTTCATTAGCCAAATTGTTTGCATTTAAGTTGGCAGTGAACTGATTGCTAGAACCATAACTAGCTGTTACAGACTGGCTTGTGACAGGAAAAGACGACATACTAGTTCTAGGTTTCTTCAGGTTAGAATTCAATCTGTGCGCACATATTATATAGGACTAGCAAATATGTCCAAAAGCTAGAGACTCCAGAGTAAAATTTTTGACGCTTTTGTGCTCAGGTGGTTTATTTGTACAAAAGCTCTCTTTCTCTAAGTATAAAAGATAACAAATTTACTCAGGGTCTATATGCCACAATAAAACTACAAGGGATCTATCTACAATTGAGTGATGGTGAGGGGTCTATCAACAAACAACCCAATGTATGTTAGGAAGTGGGTGGAGACAAACCCTTTACAGCTTAGAAACCCTGTAATAGAGGGCTTAAAAGGCCAATACACAGAGATTCATGGACAACTCAGAGATGGTTCCTTGTATCTATCTGGCTTTGTTAAAAAATAAATGCTAATAACATATATGGGAAGAAATTTAAGTACGTGTTTAATGGCGGAAAAACATTACAGATCTTAAAACAGAGACTGAGAGCTATTATTAATGCATAATTACACTGTAAATCATAGATAAACATCATGATTACCATATCTCTGCGAATTCTTGCGAAACTTTTTGAACCTGCTGTGTGCAAGAGCGTTTGACTGTTTCGAGTTTCCTTATTCTTTTCACTTGCTTTCTACATAATCATAGAACTTCTAATAAGTAAATTGTAATAAGTAAATTACAACAAGAGAAACTATAATAGTAAAAAGAAAGAAAGAATACTGAGTATGTGGGAACAACAAGCAAGCAAGCGGATTGTAAATATTCATCTAAACAGAAACTTTTTTTAAATGCATGTATATATATGTTGAGGTAATTAGATGTATATTTTGTATAATAGATATTGTGATCGAATGAGAAGTAGACTAATAGTGGCTATGTGAGTAGATATTGTGAGAAGTAGACTAATAGTGGCTATGTGAGTGGTACTGTCTCGATTGCAAATATAATTAATTAAATCTCAAATGATGCATCATAAATCTCACACTAACACGATGGTTTCAAAACATTTCATTACAATCATACATATTAATAGAACTATGCAAGAAGTATAAGTTTGAGGGATAACCATGAAATCTATTTTGAGGGTTGTTGAGGTTGATGTCAAAACATTAAATAAATTAACTATATGGGCTTCCTTGTCTTTTTCACTACTGAATTTGGAGTGAAAAAAACAGGCTTTAATTTGTTTGAACGTGCACCAGGCAATGAAGCTTTATTGTAGCTTAGTTGAATAGAGAAACAATGAGGTAATTGGATGTTTAGGCAAGCAAACCGAATGAAGCAATTCATATTCTCCTAACCCACTAAGTGTCAATTATATAAAAGTTAATATTGCAACTCCATATATGCATTTTCCTTCCTAAATTTTAATAGCCATTTATTTCTTTGTATATTGGGATGGTTATCAGAGATGAAATAGGACCAAGCAGTTTCTGGGATCACATTTTCTTGATGACATATAATAAAGACTATAGTTGATATATGACTGTGTATAATGATACTTATCAAGCTATATATGTTTAGCCTGATTTAAGCACTAGGTACTACTTGGCTTACATTATTATATAGAAATATTCAGAACAACGAACATGCTAAAGGAGAAAAAGATTACCCTTGCATTTTGAGAATGCCAAATCTTTAGTAAAGCCCTAAATTGATCCTTGGGAACAGTCTTGGGGCGCTTTTTCCATCTTTCTCCATCATTTTTTAAACCTGTAAAGTATTGACGTTTCAGCAAGCACTTCCACCGCCTCCATGCACTATTAATTGTTTGCAAGGTACATTTTCGTCCTGAATCGGCAATTGAATACTTCTCCTACAATGACATAACAAAATACAAGTTAAAATCTACCTTGTCATTACACAAAATGAATTTTTTGTGCTATATCATACCTTCACATATTCCCACAAGCTATCTTTGTCTTCTTTCCCAATGTCGTGCCAATTCTTATCTAGTGGTGTTCGTCTTGGATTTCTTCCAAGGGTACCCAGAAAACTACTAAGTTCATTTAAGATATTATCTGTCGGTCCAATAGGTATCCCAAATTTGTCTAAAATTACAACTGGACGTGCCTCTATACCTCGTTCATGTACTTTTAAACACTTAGTTGGCCCTCTATGATTTTTGGGCTGTTGTACCTCTCTTTGTTCATCTTCCCTTATCTCTTCATCTTCGTCTTCGTCAACCTCTCTCTGTTCATCTTCTCTTATCTCCTCATCTACATTGACCTCTCTCTCTTCTTCTTCCCTTATCACCTCATTGTCAGACTCTATAAAATCTTCCTCATAATCTCCATTTTCTGATTGAATATTCTCTAACTCTTTCTCTTTCTCCATCAATTTGTTTTTATCAAGTTTCTGAGGATCTTTCCGTCCCTTTCCTGATCGAGTCTTCACTTGCAAATGATTCTTTCCAAGATGTTTTTTCTTTTGCCTTTTCTCCTCTTGGACCTTATGTCCCTGTAATGATTTAGTCTTTGTCAATTGCACATCTACACTCTGAACTTGCTTTCGCAACTTGCTTGTAACGTGCTTTATTTTCATCCTTGGTACATTGCTTCCATCAACTTGTTGGCTGCAGGATTTGGATTGATTCATCCTCGCAAGATTTGTCACATGTAGAGGAGGATAAAAGATCTTTTTACGCTTCGTTGCAAGAGGTTTGCTAATGACCTACAAAATAAGAAATGCAAGGACTTTAAATGGATTGTATTAAGTTGAAGGATTGTAAAAAAAGAAATCTGTTCAAGGACCCTCTCACATCTGAAGTATGGGTAAGTACATTTTTATAAAAAAAGAAATCTGTTCAAGGATTGTAAAAAAAGAAATCTGGCTCATTTTTTTAATTTCACTTTTTTATATCAGATAGTATGTGTGTATGTCTTATTATTGTCTATGCTCTCACTAGACCTTCTGGACTAAAGGAATTAAGAAGAGTGTCGATAACATATCGTTGAGAAATGTCTCCCCCCCCCTCTTCTTTTCCTATATTTTGTAATTTGTCTGTATCTTGTGATGTGATTAGCGAGTGGTGAAACAAGACAGAAGCGAGCATTGTTATCTACTTTATTACTGTACAATTTCAAAGGTAATAATGAAAATCGCTATCAAATTTGCTTTATGGAGGGCGTCTGAACAATTGTTAGTGGATGTATTTTCTTAGTGAAGCTAATATGTAACAAAGCTTCAGAAAATTATAATCTCAAACTTTCTAGTGAAGTAGAAATACTTCAGAAAAAATTTGTCGGAGCAACTATCATTTATCTAGATATCTATCAGAAGTTGCTTCATCTTATTCAGCACCCATCAAAATATGGTAAGCTCATAATACTTTCTTAATGTACATGTTTTCAATGTGTTTTTTTTTCCTGTCACAACAGCAACTCAAGCTGCCCTATTCAAAATGTATTGAATACTAGATTCCTAGAATTTTTTTCCTGTCACAACAGCAACTCAAGCTGCCCTATTCAAAATGTATTGAATACTAGATTCCTAGAAGATTAAAGATACGAAGCTGTGATGAAAAACTGAGGGTAGCAAGTCTCAGATGTAGATAGAAAACAATATGGTAGGCTTCAGAAGTTATTATGCAAGAGCTGTTTTATAAAGAACTGTTTTATGTCCTAATTTTTTTTAAGCAAAGAATGCTTCAGAAGTTATTATGCAAGCTAGCATGTTACCAAGAAATGAATAATATGAAGAGCTCTTCAGAAGTTATTATGCAAGCTAGCATGTTACCAAGAAATGAATAATATGAAGAGCTGTTTTATGTCCATGATGAACTAATATAGGATTTTTAAAAGAATTTACCTCAAATGATCTCTTCTCTTTTGAACTTGATCTAGAATCACCAACTGTTTCCATCACTCAAAGAGAAGTGATTAACTAGTAATAAATGAAAAGAATGATCAAGCTAAAACCCACAAAAACTGAAACTGGCATTCTTTGTATTATGAAGTGTATTATTATACATACAAGTATATTTATGCCGTGCACGTGTCTTCGAGATCCCCAGTCTTGGCAGCACTCCAATGCAAGCCGAAACACAGTTCCCAACCCAAGCACAATGAGAACACCTACATTCCAAGAGTTTTCATCGATGAAATCAAGTTTGTTATAAAGTTTATTGCAAACAGCCTAGGAATCATGCAATAACAAGGTGCTCAATGCCAAAAAGGAGAGGCACAATGAATCTCAATTTTCACTTGCTTAGTTTCCATTTATGTTTAGCCTACAAAAAAGGAGAGGCACTATTAAATTTTACCGAATTAGTATAATAATAATAATAATGTCAGATAGGTATTTTAGTGTTCATAAGTTGTTATCTTCCAAAATTAAAACATGGGTTTTGATCAGAATCACAAAAGGATGAAACCTGAATTGATAAAACAAACTAATCACAAGATTTCCGATACGTGGGGTTTGGAGAAAAGAAATTAGAACAATATTTAATCACAAGATGAGCAAATACATGATCCAAATAAAGAAGAATTTTGTAAGTTCCATAAAGTTCAGTGCATGTTTCATCTGAATCAGCCAGAATTCGATGACAAACAGAGCAAATACTAGATGATCATAGTAATGAAGTTTAGAGTTAATAAAGGTGCAACAACCCAAAAAAACAGTTATCGAAATTTTATCTGCATCATCATCATCAAAAATGATATCACATTTTTCTTCTCCTTTTCTTCCTTCCGCTTCCCTAATTTATCTTCCCTTCCCTTCCCCTAGTAAACTCCCGAAAACTGTGTAAATGACACTTTACACTGGTGCTCTTCCTCACAGGGATTTCTTTCTGAACTGAAAGAGAAATTGGCCAAAAGCCACTAATCCTCTACCGAGAATCACTAAGAAGGCTCACAGTACAACTTTTCTAACATGCATCCAGCCCTCGACCTCTAAAAGATTTAAGCCCAGCACAATCAACCTACACATGCCTATACAAAGTCACGGTTCATAATACATGCGCACGTCCGCAGCGGTCATAATGGCCGGTTATTACACTGGCAAATCAGCATAGATAATTCAGCATAAAGAAATAAACACTCAGATCTTGAATGAACGCACCCACTAACCAGAACTTCCAATCCCAGGTTTATGAAAATATATAACTGTGATCATATAGTCGGAACCAGAACTCGACGCAAAATACATGATCCACTAATGAATAAACCTCAACCTTGTAAGCAGGAATTTAAGAGTAACAAGCTCCTAAACCACATGGAAAAAAAAAGACATTATTACCAGGCATGTGAACTGCTCAATGTACTTAGTTTTTGCATTACAAACATAAGGACGTATGCGCGCATCTGCATTCTTTTTCAGAAGCCAGACGATATGTCTTTTCTTCGGGCACGCGCATGCGCATTTAAGGATTAATTATACTTCTAATTAAATTGAAAAATATTAATTAATATTGACTTCAGAGGATCGACGTGGAAATGAGGAAACGAAATGTACAAGTAGAATGAATGTTCATTAAAAAAACAATGCGAAAGATAAAATCATTATAAACAAGCGTAAAAGCAGAATTGAAGTTTGGTAAGTTCTAAATGTACAAGGAGAATAGTCCATTAAAAGAAGAAGCGAAAGATAAATTTATTACAAAATGCATAAAAGTATGATTAAAATTTGGTAAGTTCTAAATGTACAAGTAGAACGAAAGTTCGTTAAAAAACAAAGTGAAAGATAAGTTGATTAAGTGCAAAACATGTGTAAACGTAGAACTATAGACTAGTAAAATCTAGAAATTTGGTGATGCATATGGCTGCTATATGTAATTTGACGTGAGTAATATTGACTATGGGGGGTGTGGGACTGTATTCTTAGAAACATAACTAAACTTAGGCGCCAAAAAAAAAGCAAAGTCCATTAAATTGGTTGTATATTGCGAATATGTTAGCAGCAGCAGAAAACAAAGTCCAGAACAAAAAGCATTTAAAGAAAACTAACTACAATATGCTGATGTGTACAAAATTACAGACAATAACCACAATATGCTGAACTTACTATATCATGCAACACTTGTTATAATGCAAATGGATATTCTGCAGTGATAGTGAAGAAATATTTCATCACAAACCTGGGATCCAACTTTGCAAGCCTCAAGATAATATCTAACTGCTCAACATCACGTAAATCAACAGGAAGCAGCTTATAATGATCGCTCAACACTTCACCTCTTTCTGAAGGGGAAAAAAGGGCCCAGCACAGGAATATTAGAAAACAGAAAAAGGAAATGAGAACATCTTAACTCACACAGATAATTAATAAACTAACTACTAACAATGGTTAAAGCAGCCTACATGTGTTTGTTATGAGAGATATAGACTTGAAGTCAATATACTTGCTATGATCTTTTATAAAGAGTACGATAGTCAAATATGGGCTTCAAGACCAAATGAAGGGCCTAAAATTAACTATGTTCCACAACAGTAATCCAACCAAATACATCTTAGTCTTAGCAAAATCACATGCAACTGGTCAGGGTTATTTCCAGCAACAAATGTTGATTAGGTTATGAAAGATATAAGCAGCAATTATATATAAAAAATAAAAGAACATAAAACTTTATCAGAAAAAATCTAGTAAGTATGATGCAGAACACAAAATATATCATAAAAGCACTTAACTAGATAGATCCATATCAGGTTCATTTTAACCGCATAAACTCCAAACAAACATTCAGGTCCAAAATCTAATAAAATCACAAATGTCCCTAATAAAATAAGCAACACATCCAATTCCAATCTTGACACAAGTACAAAGTATTGAAGACAAATTAAGGAGTATCCTCCGTCCAATCCCAATCTGATTCATCTTTATCTCCACCTTCTGATTCATCTTTCCAATCCCAATCTGATTCATCTTGATCTCCACCTTCTGATTAATCTTGATCTCCACCTTCTGATTCTCCTTCATTTTCATCTTCTAGCTCCTCCATGTTTGGCAGAATGTCAACAATGGATCTCGGCAAACCATCTCTACACCAACCAATATTATCTGCATCATCATCATTAATGCTTGCAATCAAATCCATTTCGTTGTCATGATTCTCGGCCCAATATTGATCGCTATGAGTGACACCAAGATCTTCAAACACATTGCTTGGAATCTTCAAAACATAATGCCAATTCTTATTAACCTCTTCAACAGGGTCTTTCACATAAAAAACTTGATGCACTTGGCATGCCATCACAAAAGGATCATTTGTATGACATTTGTTGTTAAAATTTACACGAGTAAGCCCATATTCATCCGTGTCATGCTGAAACCAATCACACTTAAACAAAACAACACTAAAATTGCCCCAGTAGTCTAGTTCAATGATATCTTGTATGACTCCATAGAATGACACTTTAGCAGTTATAGGATTATGGTCCCTAGAGCTTGCATAACTATCCACTTCACTTAATAAAGAAACACCACTATTTTGAGTTTTGCATGTATCATCGCGTGCTTTGATGTAGAAAGTATAGCCATTAATATAATATCCTCTATATCTCTTGGCGATATTGTTGGGACCCATCGAAAAAAACTTCATGTATTTGGGTATTGATTGAGATTCAGCCACGGTGTCTTTAAACCATACAAGAAAATCCTTACTATGCCTTTGAGCTTCTACCCATTTTCTTCTTCTACCTCGTTTTCTCGGTTGATTCTCAATCAAGAGTTTGTGCTCTCTGTATTAATAAGAAACAAACATAATATGTTATATAGTGGAATTTAAAGAATACAAAAAATAATATATAAAGATTTAATAAATAAAGTATACCTAATATACTCCCCAACTTCCCTATTACCGCAATTGAATAAAGCATATCTATGTGCATTAACCCAATCTACATCATCCAATGCAAATGCTTTGCCTTTCCTTTTCCTCTTTCCGCCCACTGGATGACCTATCTTTGGAAAAATAGGTGATGGCTCATCATCATCAATGACTTCATCATACTTTCTTGTATATCTATTAAATCTTGTCTTCACACCATCATGTAGATATAACGAGCAAAAAGTGCTGAAACCAATCACACTTAAACAAAACAACACTAAAATTGCCCCAGTAGTCTAGTTCAATGATATCTTGTATGACTCCATAGAATGACACTTTAGCAGTTATAGGATTATGGTCCCTAGAGCTTGCATAACTATCCACTTCACTTAATAAAGAAACACCACTATTTTGAGTTTTGCATGTATCATCGCGTGCTTTGATGTAGAAAGTATAGCCATTAATATAATATCCTCTATATCTCTTGGCGATATTGTTGGGACCCATCGAAAAAAACTTCATGTATTTGGGTATTGATTGAGATTCAGCCACGGTGTCTTTAAACCATACAAGAAAATCCTTACTATGCCTTTGAGCTTCTACCCATTTTCTTCTTCTACCTCGTTTTCTCGGTTGATTCTCAATCAAGAGTTTGTGCTCTCTGTATTAATAAGAAACAAACATAATATGTTATATAGTGGAATTTAAAGAATACAAAAAATAATATATAAAGATTTAATAAATAAAGTATACCTAATATACTCCCCAACTTCCCTATTACCGCAATTGAATAAAGCATATCTATGTGCATTAACCCAATCTACATCATCCAATGCAAATGCTTTGCCTTTCCTTTTCCTCTTTCCGCCCACTGGATGACCTATCTTTGGAAAAATAGGTGATGGCTCATCATCATCAATGACTTCATCATACTTTCTTGTATATCTATTAAATCTTGTCTTCACACCATCATGTAGATATAACGAGCAAAAAGTCAGCGACTCTTCAGCCAAATACCCCTCCGCTATGGAACCTTCAGGAGCACTTCTATTGCGAACATATGACTTTAATCTACAAAGATATCTCTCTACCGGATACATCCAACAATAGTTAACTGGCCCACAATCCAAAATTTGTTGAACTAAATGAATCGGCAAATGCACCATAATATCAAAAAAGCTAGGTAAAAATATTTTCTCCAGTTGACAAAGTATCTCCACAATTTCTGACTGCAATTTATAAAGATCATTTAAATTAAGAACTTTGCTACATAAGCCCTTGAAGAAAGCCCCTAATCTGATTAATGGAATAGAAACACGTCTAGGCATAGTTCTTCTCAGAGCAACTGAAAGCAAATACTGCATGAGAAAATGAGCATCGTGTGTCTTATACCCTGATATTTTTTTTCCCATTAACATTGACACACCTCGAGATATTTGATGCACAACCATGCGGCGTTTTAGCATTTTTTAACACACCACAAAATATCTTTTTCTCCTCCATCGTCATCGAAAAGCATGCTTTAGCGAATGTAAAATGCCGACCATCAGCTGACTTGGTTGGGTGTAGATCTCTTCTTATGCCCATATGCTGCAAATCAAAACGAGCTCTAACATGATCCTTCGTCTTTTCAGGAATGTCTAATAATGTCCCAATTATATTATCACACACATTCTTCTCTATGTGCATTAAATCCAGCAAGTGCCGACATGTATTCTGCTCCTAATAAGGCAAATAAAAAAATATTAACTTTTTTTTCCATGGATAGCTCTTTTCTAATTTTTTTTGTTTCTTCCCAAAGTCATTAACAAAGCCATGCAATTCCTCCATAATCTCTATCCTAGATAATGATTTAGGTTTTTTTCCATAGATGATTATCACTCAAAAATCGACGATGACCCATGTAACACATTTTCCTACTGTATTTTAAATATTGCGAACAAGTGCCATAGTTGCAGCAAGGACAAGCTAACTTCCCTTTAGTACTCCATCCGGATAACATTGCAAATGCTGGAAAGTCGCTTATAGTCCAAAGTAAAGCTGCACGAACATAAAATGGTTGTTTACTTGAAGCATCATAAGTAAGCAACCCGACTTCCCATAACTCTTTCAAGTCATCAATCAACGGTTGCAAGTAAACATCGATATTATTCCCAGGGGACTGAGGCCCTGGAATAAGCAAAGACAACATGAAATATTCTGGCTTTAGAGACATCCAGGGTGGTAAATTATAATTTATCAAGATCACCGGCCATGTACTATATGATCACCGGCCATGTACTATGTGAAATGCTCATAGTCCGAAATGGATTAAACCTGTCACTAGCCAAGCCCAGCCTCACATTACGAGGGTCTAGTGCAAAATCAGGATGATTGGAATCAAAATCCTTCCATGCTTTGCCATCTGCTGGGTGCCTTAGATTCCCATCCTGGAGGCGCTCTTTTGCATGCCAGCTCATGGATTCAGCAGTCTGAGAACACATGAATAGTCTTTGAACTCTAGGTTTTAAAGGAAAATATCTTAAAACCTTGGCTGGAACATCCTGCTTATTTGCCTTCCATCTACTTTCACTTACTGCAAACAACTTTTTCTCCATCTTCTCCACGGTAAAGCATGCAATCATTAGGGCAAGCATGTATCTTCTTGTAATCAAGGCCCAAATCCTTCACAATTCTTTTGGCCTCATAATAAGACTTTGGTAGATTTATTTCAGGAATTGCCTCTCTCTATATGGCTAGATAATCATCAAATGCCTCGTTGCTTAGGCCATGGATGCACTTGTGAAGATACAACCGGATGATAAAAGAGAGTTTAGAAAAAGTTTTACATCCCGGAAACAACTGCTGCTTACCTTCATCAACTAACTTATAAAATTTCTTTGCCTCCTTTGTTAACCTTTCTTCATCGTCACTTAGGCCATCTTCTTGGTTCACTGGAGACTCTTCTGCTACATCTCTAAATACATCATGCAATAACCCATCCAGATTGTCTTGAGCATCATCAGCAACATCATCAGCTTCTTCATTATTGTCATCAACATCCATCCTTGATGACACACCCTCTCCGTGAAAGAACCAATCATAATAATTCTCTACAAATCCTTTGACAATAAGGTGATCATAAACAACATCACGACTATACCAAAAACGATTACAACAAATGCGACAATGACAACATATTTCATCCCCTTCTGCTCCATTAGCAAATGCTCTCTCAAGAAAGTCATTGACATTATTAATGAACTCCACACTCACTCTAGGAGCATTATACATCCAATCTCTGTTTTCCGCCATTTATTATATGGTCTGGAGAAAGAAAAAAATTGAATAACACTATTAATAACTACATATAAATCTTGTGATTAATAAAATGTAAAAATCAATCCTCTTGTTGCCATTAATAACAATATATTCAATCAACATTATTCTGATTAACACTATTAACAGTTACATTGCAAGTCATATATGCTACAACAGTACTATTCTGAAGATTATTAAAATACAAGTGAGAAGGACTTTATATTAAAAGGTGGCATGCAATTGATACTTCATTGTTGTGAATATCCTACAAAATAATAATATAATAACTACTAAAGACATAAGTGCATTCAACACTTCAACAGTTAGAAGCATAGTCATGGTACATTGCTATAAGAATAATATCATAACGCTTTTAAGAAACAAGTTAAGTTACCTTCTTACCAAATAATGATGTAATCAACGAGATTAAACGCTCTTCTAACTCTTCTTGGTAGCTCTCTTTCTTATTTTTCTTGCTCACTGGAATTTAAACATCATATAAGTCACATTAGTAGTGAAAGTAAAGAAATTTATGAACACAACATTGCATGAGTGGAAGGATTAACAAAAACATGAATGAAACTAGCAACAGTTTATATGAAAACTGCTCAAAACTATCATATTCTCCAGAGAAGAAAAATAATAAGAAAACTGCTGATGAAATCGGAGTCATTTTTGCAGGAGTATTTTCTAAGAGTAGATCAAGTGAGACGTTACACAGTTCTCCCGAATCATCACTTAGAAGCTTGGCTCAGTTTCGCAGAAATCTCTCAACTCGCCCTCTTCATTCCGGACTTGTATCTCCTCAAGAAAAATTCTTCCATTCATAAATACACGAAATCATTGAAACATTCTGTGAACCTTGGAAAACATGCGGTTTGAGGTTGAATTAACAATTCATAGCAAAGTTTAGCCAGTTTTGCTTCCTCCATAACAAACTCTACTTTGTTCGTAATCGATATTTTTAGTGAAAACATCACCCATTTTATACATCACATTAATTGCTTACAGAGATGCTTCGCAATCTGCTCTTTTTGTGGGTTATGTACACACAAGTAACATCTATAATTTTCTAATATCATTTCTAATATCGGTCACTTTTCAATTTATGATATTTTTACAGTGTTGCGAAACGGGTATACGTGATCCATGGAGGAGGAGAAGCTAGCAAAGAATCAAGATGATCTCTTCATCCAAATTCTCTGTTGTTCCTTAATTGTCTTCGCACACAGAATATGGTATCTCAATTAAAAATACAAACCAAGAGAGAACACTAATTAATCTTTCTTCAAGATGGATTTGCTATTTTTTGTAACTAATTAATCTTCGCACACAAAATACGTTTGGTTTTGATTAAAAATTCAAAACAAAAACACCCCCTCTCTTCACAACCAATCCCCCCCACAAAAAACCCCATATAATCAAATCCTAATCCCCTATCTACACAACAACAAATTAAACACTAATCATAGTGGTGATCAACAGTCATGAGCCCCCCTTGCCGTGCCAAGCAAAAACAACCTCCCCCAACTTCCATCCCAACAATCTCTCACTCTGGCTGTCGGTGAATTAGCAGATAATGCATGACTAATACAAGTTTGTTGTAAAATACTGAGGACAGAGTTCTCAAAGCACTGCAAAAACTCTAAAAGCAAAATACAAAAAAAAAAATCGTTACTGAAAGGAGTTTGTTGTAAAAGACTCACGCTAACTTCAACACGGTGATCGTTTTCACTACCTTGTTTAAGCTTTGCTGATGTATCTTTCACTAGCTGTCCAATATGTAATCTCGTCTTGTGCCTGCGAGAAATGGTCGGAGATGAGATCGGAGACGGATTAGCTGCGAGATAAACTGATTAGTAAGCTACTGCGAGATAAAAGGCCATCAACAACTAAACAATTTCCCTAATAGAAAGGGGAAGAAACTGTAGAAATCAGAAATACAAGGAACTGAGGTACCTGAGAGTCCAAAGGAGAGTGAGATCGGAGACGGATTAGCTGCGAGCTCGACGACCTATATCGGAGATGAGATCGGAGACGAGACCAGCAGCTCGACGAAGAGATTAGTTACGAGATCGACGACGAAATCAGAGTTGAGATCGGAGACGATGAGATCGAAAAACGGCGAAGAGATTAGCGACGAGTTAAGCGATGAGATCGACGAATTTCGGCCATGGCGATCTCTCAGAGCGAACGAAGAGGGAGATTTTAGAAAGGGGTGATGAGTTGAGTGAGAGAGAAAGAGGGATATTTGGTAAAGCAGTGAGAAAAAAAAAGAGATTTCGTTTCAGTGTTAAGCCCAAACCAGCCTATAAAATCGGCCCAAATCAAAATTATTGGGCCTAGCGAAGCGGTTTTTGTAAACCGTTGTCAAAGCGTTGTAAAACCGCCCCCATAGATACCTAACGCAACGGTCATAAACGTTGCACTAGAACTGTTGCGTTAGAGCAAATATGTGGTAGTGTAGTATGATCGGTGCATGTTTTGTGCATGTTTTTGTCTGCCCAGCAAATTCACGGGACTACTAGTCCCATGGATTTGCTGGGCAACAGACGCTAACTTTTTGTCTATTGCACGGGACTAGTAGTCCCGTGCGTTTTTCAGAAAACTATTTAAAAACCCACGAGACTCCCGTGGGTTTTTTAGAAAAGTATTCAAAAACCCACGGGACTCCCGTGGGTTTTCTGAGGCTTGTTTAGTGGCCGATTAATGCCACTAAATATATGAGACTAGTAGTCTCGTGTATTTCGAAACATAGATTCAGCGAAACCGACCTCTTTTTGGCAAGTTTTGATGAGCTGGCCAAAAAGAGGTCGATTTTGCTAAGTACTTAGCAAAATTGTCAGTTTGCTAAATATTTAGCAAAAGTAGCCTGTTTTTAAAAAAAATCTCCAATTGTAAACTGTAAACATTGGTCCAGAGAGCATAGTAGCTCCTGCACCAATAGTCTGGTGTCTCTATTTTTGGCCTAGCATCATAACCTAATCCAGAAAATTGATCACTGTAAATAGAAAAAATTTATTGAGGACTGCACAAAAGAACAAACTGAGAGTTTTGCTGTTATATCACGCAAAATTTTCATGGTGATGAGCAAAGTCTCATGTGTTGTAGGCTCTATGTTTGTCCTTGGAACCAATAAATCCATTTAAAATCAGGCAGCAATCAGTCTCATTGTTGTCCTTGTAAGCCTGACTTAACTGGAAAAAGATAGGGTTTGATGCCCTGAAACCCTTGAATATGGGTGCCTATTTTTGGAAAAATGAAAGAAAATTTTTCTTTTTCTTTGTCAAGAGCACCGATCCTTTCATTTTGATCATATGTGGGGTGCTGTTCTAGTATTAATGCTCGAAAAGGGAAAAGAGAACTCAAAGTACACAATGAAAACACAAGAATGAACACTTGAAGGATATATTTTCAACTAACACTTTAATATTGTCAGTGATATACGTGGTCATGAATGCAAGAATATACCAACATTTCTAAGATGCTTGTGGTTTGAAGCATAGGTACTGTAATTAAGCTTTAGAAGAATACTTTGATTAGACTGAAATATACATCTTACAAGAATACCAGCTTAATGTGGAAGCAAAATCAAAGGGCAAGGATTCGAATAAAGGTTAGATTTCTCACTGCTCTGTTTTCTGCTTCAGTTTGCCGCGTATCAAGCATGATTCTAGAGAATCAAGGCAGAAAGAAAGGAAGGAAGAAAGAAACAGGATAGATTCAGGCGTAAGCAAGAATGGTTTATAATGGTCAAAACTTATGCTACAGCCACCAGCTAAAGATGCAACCTTAGTTCTTTTTTGACAAAGAAAAGGTATATATTCATATGCCTAAGGGTCCATATTTTCACAAAAAAAACTAAGAAGTAACTAATCAAGGACCAATATAGGTTCCAATAAGTAAGAATCCATATTTTCAAATATTTTCGAACCTACTTACACGTAACCAGACATACTTACAGATACCTAGTCCTTGAGCACAAGAGGTCATAAGATTCAGTAGTCTTCTCCCCCAATGACCATCTATATAAAGGCAATTGTATGGGGCCTGTTAGGATTCGTAGGGGGTGAAGGGAAGTTAAGGGAAACTGAGTAAAGGGAAGGGAAGAGAAAGGAAGGGAAGAGAAGGGAATTCTCTTCCCCTTGGTTACACCCCAATTTGGGGGTAACAATTTTTATACTATTAGGGGGTGAACCAAGATGAATGGAGGTGAATTAACTTCACCTCCTAAGTATTCCCAAACAAGGTGAATGGAGGTGAATAGTTCCCCTAACTTCCCTTCACCCTCATTCCCCTCAATCCAAACAAGCCCAGGATTCCTCAATATTATAATGACCTAAATCCACCTGCCATCAGAAGAATTAAAACAAACAAAACAAAGGCAAATAATTACACTTGGCTTATCTCCAGGGAATAATACAAAAGGAAAAAATTAAAGTAACTAACAGATACGCCACCTATGGACCACTTTGGGCCACCTGAAACCTAATGTGAGCAAAACATTAAGCACCTTTCATTGATAAAGTAACTATTTCACATGGAAGGGGAACCAAAAATAATAAATAATAAATAAATAGAGGCCATAACAAAATGATTATCGAACAACAGTTACTTATGCAAGAAGACAGACACCAACAAAGATGCTACACTATTTGAAAGGCCAAAGATGGATTAATAAAGTGAAGTAAACAAATGGGGCTAGAAATAAAAACCCCTTAATTTAATTAAGTTGTCATCATTAAGCTAAAGCTATTATGTGAAAGAGGTAACTTGATTCAGCTAGAACATACTTCCATGGAAATTGCGCGCAGCTAAATCTGGAAGTACCGAACATACTTCTTTCTGAAATTCTTCTAGTGAAATTAACTCCTAAATATCTTCAAGATATTTACTCTCTTAATATTTACCATTATGTTTTGTAGAAAAATGTAATCACAACTAACACTAGTCTTATTATTCAAACTCTGACCATGATCTAACTATCCACTAGTTCGTAGTCCATGATACTGGAATTAGCTAGAGACTTTTTAATCTTTACACAAGTTCATTGATAGTTCAAGCTTTTCGAAAGCAAGCTTACATTTTAGAAATTAAAGAAAAATGCTATGACTCTGTTGGCTCAAATCCCAATTTCTCGAGCTCTTAATCAAGTTTGCATCAAATGTCACAGTATTTTGTATTCGTGCTGTGAGTCTATACAGGATATTGGACATGGTTGTCAAAGGTTCTATTCACTTCAGTTATATGAATTGAACAACGGCATCAGGACGATAACAGTTTCCAGAATTTCTTTACGAATAATCTTCGCGCATACATGACTCCTGAGATTACCTTTAATTGTCAGCCTCGACGTGTGCAAAATTGCCGGCGAATCAGTTCTCTCATGGCTCCAACAAAGTAGCTTCAAGTAGTTATACTAATCCAGTTGGTTTTGAGGTTCCAGAAACCTACAGAGCAAAGAAAGAAATGAACATGTTTCAGATATATGCTAGAATGGTTTAAACTGATTAACCATTATGTTAAATTCGATTCAAACCTAGATTTTTTTGACAAGGGAGTTGTTGGGGAATTTCAGTCTCCCCGCCTACTACAATATGCGCAACTCGGAATCCAACCCCAATCAATAAGATAGAACAACCACAATCAAGAAAAAAGAACACCGAGATTTACGTGGTTCGGTCGACCAACTTCGACCTACGTCCACGGGGCAACAATACGAAAAATTCACTATGTATCAGAGAGAACTACAAGATGAACCACTCAACTCTCGTCTCTCAATCTCTCAACCTCACATACACAATCAACTCTCATATTCTCTCCAAAGCCCAATCCTTGTAATCTTTTACACGGATAAAGACTACGAAACCCCCTCTCTCTCTCATCTACTACATCTCTACTTTTTCTCCATGGTTTTTCCTCCACCAATAGAAGAATATATATAGGGAAACCAAAACCCTATCTCTAGCCTAACTTCCTAATTAGAATAGGATTCAAACTCCTAATCATGATAAAACCCAAACTCCTAATCATGATAGAATTCAAACTCCTAATCATGATAGAACCTAAATTCCTAATCATGATAGAACTCTAACCCTATCTAATTCTCATGAAGTTACACAAAGAATCAAACACAAAATCCCAACAGGAATAAATATAGAAACCCGCACGCTCCTCTCATTTCTACTGCATGGTTCTTAGAAAACATAGTACTTGCCTGATAAGTTTGCATTATGACGAGACATAACCTCGATAGTAAACTACTTCACTTTCCGCTTTCTTGAGCTTAGTTACATCTTCCCATATGTATCTTTTAATTCTTTTATGCAACTAGTTTCATATAAGTCAGAATCTCCTTTTGCATTTTTGTCAAAGCTCCCACACTTCAAATTCTTCTTAAATTGTGGACACCGTGGCTCAGAATGATCATGGTTTGTAGATTCACAGCCTTAACCTTCTTCGCCTTTATAAGGAATTCATCACCATCTTCAACTTCTTACTCGACCTTGTCGTTGTCAAGATCCTTGTAGACAGAATCATAATCTTCCCTTTGGTTATTTTTTCCGATCAGATTCATTCCACCTTCTTCCCTTTTATACTCACGTTTCTTCACGTTATCAACGCTCTCATAAAATTTCTATTGATTTAGAGGCATACAGGTATTTCATCTTTCTTTTCTGAACTACGGTTCTTCTGTTTCTCTATCTTATGAGAAATAAACTTGTCTAATTAATCATTGGAGGAACTAATTAACTAAGGGAAACAGAGTAAACAACACTGCTTCCATGCCTTTAATCCTCACTAATCAATAAAGTAAACCAAAACACAAAAGAAGAAAAGCAGAAAAAGAGAAAGCGATCAAAAGCTATAATCCCTTCAACACCTTTCTCAAAGCTCTCTCCTCTTTCTCCTCCAGCAATCTCAGCACACTATAAACCCAAGAAGAAAACTAAGGCAGGAACCTACTATCACCCTCCGCCGCTGCCCCACCGCACTTCCGGCAAGTAGACCCCACCGTGACCG